GTTTGGTGGGGGAAGGCTTGATAAGATGTGATAAGGAAAAGCTTCCTTAAGAGATCTCATCATATTTGAATAAAGTTTCCCTCCTCTCTCCTGACCCTGAGCTGCTGAGTCTCCATCTTGTGCAGGTTGTGGAGGTTGAGCTGGTTGCTGAGGAGGCTGTTCTCCTGGTGAAGGTTGTGGATAGTGCGGCCGTGCTGCACTGTCATCTGTATGCTGCTCTCTATCATCTTCTCCCTGTCAATCAGCTTCAGCCTCAGTGTCTCTCCTTCAGCCTGCAGGGCCTGGCCTCTGCTTTGGGCCTCCTCCAACCTGACAAGATGCTGGAGAAATAAAGTTTCAGATGAATGAGACTACAAATTAGGCACAGGTTACCAGATCATTTTGTAAAAACCATATGGACTCATAATGCTTGATCTCCTCTAGAACATTACGAGCTGTGCTTCTTGCTGTCTGAGCTGGAGGTCTTTGTGTTTCTCCTCCAGGAGTTTCTGGGATGTCCTCCCCTCCTCCCCGGCCGCCTCCAGCTGTCCTCTCAGGGCCTCCACCTCCTCCTGGAGCTCCCACTGCTGCTGCAAACCACACCTCTGTACAGGATGAAGCAGGAGACATAGTGGGACGATTGTAAACGACCAAAAACAATAATCTTTTGACAGTGGGAAGAAATATGATCTCACAGAAAGGGAGAGAAACTGGCTTGAAATGTCATCTTATTTCCCGTTATTCCAAATTACTGAGGGCTTTCTTCAGTTCTAAAGTTGTACAATAAAATATTTAATTTACAATATTCTAAGTGTTTTTGATGGTGGGAAGTTCACCTGACGCCTGCACTTTAAAGTGTTTTCTTCAATGAACACAACACAGGTATCTGTATTAGGACTTTCAGTTTTATAACAATAGAAAAGAGATAGAATGCTAACAAATCACCTTCAGTTGGCCAAGCTGTAAAGATCGCTCTCTCTCACTCTGGGCGTCCATCAGCTGCGACTGAGCCTGAATGAGCTGCTGCTCCAGACTACAAATCTACAATGTCACAAATCAAATTTCATTTTAGTTTTCATTCTGGTATAGGAGGTAGAATCAGTGCTACTTTTCCATATTGTCTAATCTCCAAACCAAGGTGGATCCATATGGCTGGTTAATAATAACTTGTATCAGCCTCATTATCTCTTTGCGTAAATTATTGCTCATCATCTTACTGTACATTCTTCCTTACCTGATCTTTGTGGCTGCAGACGGCTGACTCCAGGTCACTGATCTGACCCTGGTGCAGTGATGTCTGTCTCTCTGCAAGTTTCCTGGGTAAAGAAGGTATGTATTATTTATTTGACGCAAATACATTAATTCAGAAAATGTATCATTGTCTGATCATTTATTTAAATAGAATGAAAACGTCACTGATAAAACAGCCACAAAAGGATTCTGGAAAGATACTTACTTTAGCAGCTCTAACTTGACATTCAGGCTGATGCTGTTGTTTTTTGATGAGGTCAGTTTGTCAGTCAACAGCGCCATCTCCTGGCCAAGACTAGATATCAGGCCTTCCATTCTAGGGCAGAGAAATGTGAACAATGCGGTCACATTCTATTTATAAAATACAATGCTACTCTATTCTCTTTCTCAATCCATACACTGCAGTGCTCCTTTAAATTACCTTTCTCTTTGCTTATTTACTCCACTGCGTCCCTCACTCCCCAGATGGTTAATTGACTGCCAATAACAGAAGAAAATATATTTCAGACATAATAGGAGACAATATGTGAGTCGAAACATAAAGTAAACTGAGCGTGACCTGTAGAGGACTTCTATTACTTACCAAAAAAAGTCTTTCCTGTAGCTCCTCTGTCTCATCATTAAAAATCTCAGTAAACCGAGCAGCCGGTGTTGAACTTGTATGGAAGTTAGGACTGCTGATTGCATTGTCCCCACGTTGTGTCTCCTGATATAACAGTGAGTACATCTGCTCTACATTTTGTTCCAATGCCTCTACTTTTCTGTTAAGTGCCAACGTCTCATCTTCTGTCTCAAGTAGCTCTTGGTCCTTGGCCCTTTTGATGTTTTGGATCTCTTCCAACATGAACAGCATCTTTTCCATCTGACCAACGTGTGTCCTTGAATCCTTCAATCTACAAATAAAAAGGTCTATGGGTCAAAGCAATTTAAACACTTATTTAGAGGAGTAAAACTTGATCAGTGTCTTTACCTGATGTCAGACAGGCCGTCCTTCTCCTTCTGGACTTTGTTCAACTTAGTCTGCAGGTTCACGATGGCTTTGTCAAACCTGAATGTCTCTTGTTCTGGTTCCTCATGCGTCTGTGTTTGAGAGGGTCAAATAATACATGATACAGGGAAAGCAGTACCAATAATGAATTCAGACCACATCAAACAATTAGGACTCATGGCTGAAAGAAAATGATGAACCTTGTTGAGCTGCAGGTCAGACAGCTGTTGAAGAGAATTATCTATTGTATTTTCCAACACCTTCTTTCCAGGAGAGCTGAAATCTGTTTGGTTTAAAATATCCAGATCACAGACCAGTGGCTGAATCACTGCCTGTTGCTGAGTTGAAAGAATAGAGGAACCTCCATCGTCTGCCAAAAAATCAAAAGATGTTTAAAATAAACACTGTGTATGTTGTGAAAGTTAAGGGCTGGTAAAACATGCGTTTGTGATTCAACAGGTAGATGTGCTGGGCTCTTGGCTTATGTTTCATACTTTTTTTTATAAATACTATGCTCTCAAATGTTTTTTACCCACACATTTGTATATCTAGTAGGAGGATTTATATTTTAGATGAACCTCCAGCTTTACCAAATGTAGTGGTTTCTATTGTGTTGTGTTGTGAAATAAATAAGCCCTTGCTTAACACATTATTTGTTCATCTTTTTGGCTGCTGACACATAAGCAAAATGTTGTGTGACGCTGCAAGCACTCACATTCATTAAACCTGTAGTTGTGGTTGCTCCTTCCTGGTGAGCTGTGGATGCCATATGTGCAGCCAAATCTCTCCAAAGTTTCTTTAGTTGTGGTTTCCACCTCTTCCTGAAGCCTCTGGGTTTCTTTGGTGCGCCTTTCAAGCTCCTCACTGTAAAACAAACAAATCAGAGTTTATAAAGCCCAATATCACAAAACATATTTGTTGCAGTGGACTTTACAGATTGACAAACAGTGTCTTTTAACAGTGTTAAAAGATAAATAAAATTACAAGAATTCTTTTTTTAAAAACTAGATAGAACGTGAAATACAAATACAATTGATAAATAATAAAATTAGATAAAATACAATAAAACTATCCAATGTAAGACTCAGGAGGAAAAACATAGGGTCATCTTAGACTTCTCTAACTATAGGCTTTATTAAAAAGGAGGGTCTTCAACACACTCTTAACATTTTGGACACTGTCTGCCTCCCTAATAAAAACAGGAAGTTGGTTCCAGAGAAAGGGAGTTGAACACTCTGACTCCTGATCAGGTTTGGCGGACTCTGGGGACCACTAACAGACCTGCACTCTTGGGGCATAGGGCCCTAGAGAGGACTTAAATATATCATTAATCAGGATATATGGAGAATATTACTCGTAGTGATGCCATACCACTGTGGAAACTTCTTTTAAACGTCAACAAGACAAAAATAAGAAAGACTTCTCAAGGTCAGGTCAGGGTTACAGTATTATTAGTAAAGTGAGAGGTTATTAAAGTGTAACATCACCCTAGGTCTGAGCCCTGTGCTCTATGCCATCTGTGCCACCTCTGGCGAGACGAGGTTAACATTATTTTTGTATACAATTATTTGTACATACAACTATTTTTATATACAACTCTCAGGACATAGTTCCCAACCTGTTGAGCGAGCATTTGTTTTGCAAGGGTCAGGGCTTATTTAAAACAGTAAATGGTTTGTTGATCCGATTTCAAAAAGCAATCTTATAAAAATTGGTAAGATAAAATCAATGTTCACACCAGCACTTTCTCTTTTAATACATAACATATCTTTATTTCACAGCTCAGGAACAACAGTAACTCTTTAATGAAATATCACTTGAGTCATCACTTGGTTTTAGTGTTATTTACAGTAAATGCTTCAATGCAGATTTATTTTTGTTAACTTTAAATTATTTGTTTTATTTTTATTTTTGACTACATGTTATGGCGCATTTGTTGTGAGTGACTGTCTTTGAATGACTTGATATCAAGTTAGAAATAGGAGTGTTTACCCTTTGATTGCATGATTTGTAGATCGAATATTAAGACATTACTATTATTATACTAAAGCAGTGGCTGCTCATGAGTTGGTATTGAGGTTAACATAAAATAGGCTGATGGCTACAAAACAGGAGCTATTTTTAGTCATGCATTTAGGCACAATGGTCTACCTCAGTTCATCCAGATTCAAGCTGTTAAATCTCAGCCGACGAGTGGCGTCACGGGTCTCTGTAGAGGAAGTTAAACAAATTACTTTAGGACTAGAACTATTCATGACAAGTTCACAAAATTGGAGGTTTAGCAAGTAAGCCAACACTGGCTTTAGCTTGTTTATTGTAACTTACCAGCTGTTCCGGATGGGTTAACGCCTTGTACAACTTTAGCGCCATTGTTGCAAGAAAGTCGAATACTCTGAGGGTCGGGGGACTGAAACCCTGATGACATCTCTTTTAACAATCTCCTCAAAGCTAACATCAACAGCTAGCTAGACAGTGAGTTATCGTTAAGCTATGTTCCATCACCATGGAAACTACATCAGTGGCTAACTACTAGCTAGCTTTATGCTATTGATAATTTGCTGTATCGTGTTGGCGTTAAACCCAAACGTAGTTAACATTGTTTGGCTGTCTATGTTAGTCTTGTATTCCGTTAGGTTAACCTGAAGCTGAAATGATTAGCAAAAGTAACGTTAGCGCCGACACTTTGAAACATACCGTCAACATCCGCTCCCCCCCGCCCTCCCCCCGTTGTGACGAAAACGTGCACCGGAAAGGCGTTTCCAGCTATGGATGATGGTCATTGTAGTTTATCAGCAGATCAGCAGTTGTTTGTTTATTCAGGGCGGACCCTCTCTTTTCTGCAGGGATTCAGGGATCGTTTCTTTTAACATTCACTGCACAACATTGCATCAAAATGGAAGCATGAAGTATTAAGAGGTGCAATTCAGTTGCATCGCTTTTATTACCCTGCACGTCTGCGGCTTCTGGGCAAGGTAAGACGACGGTTTGTTGATTTTCGCTAGCAAGCTAGCTTAGGTAATATTGACATATTTTGTGTTAGACGCATTGAGCGTTTTAGTATTTACAAGTGAACAGCCTTTTTCTATTAATTCAGCCTTTTCTGAAATGTGTAACAGTGACCCGTTATGATTGACCTGTTCGTGTTGTTTAGCAGACATCTACATTTAATCCAAACTATTGTCAACATTGCTTTTACGACGCTTTTTCGACGCGTATTCCCAATGCAGTAATCAAACCAACCCTCTTATAATACAACAACAACAACAACAACCATGTTAGGATTTAAATGAGATCAGGAATGTGTTGGTTTTGGGCGGTTTGGGGAAAATCTTCCAGTGACACCTGACACCAAGTAGGTGTGGTTTAGGAGACACCATTTATAAGCCCTCTCCTCCTCTCTATAACCTGGGGAAACAGCTGTTGGAGACTTTCTCTTGCACTTCAATGCACAACCAATGAAATATGTTTTGTTTTAGGATGAGGGATCATCAAGCCATTGACAGCTGGCTCCTGAAAGAGTTAAAGGCATGTTGTGCAAAAGAGTACAACTTCCTTCCCAGAGAGGCTGGACTGAAGCTGATGGAGTCGGCTTCCACAGAGGTACCAACTGAACTACTTCTACATTTTGGGCTGTCTGTGCAGATTTTTTAAGATAAAAAAACAAACATGATATATTCCCAACAATGTCTAATATATTGTGCTTTATTTTTAGAATCACAGTGGAGTGTCTGAAAAAGGAAGAAACACCAGAGTGGAAGAACTGTGGGGCCTGACCAGTTTCTTTGGATACAGCGCTCAAACGTTTGTGCAAGCTGTCAATTTGCTTGATAGATTCCTCACCACTATGAAGGTAGGAATAAATTGTTGTTATTCTATTTCATGTGAAGCGTCTTTGACCATTAGGGAAAATACTAATCCCATGTATTATTATTTATTATTTATATGTTTGCACCACCAGACACCAAAGCAAATCCCTTGTCTGTGTAAAGATACCTGGCAATAAACTTGATTCGGATTCTGATTAAATAATTTAACTGTAATGTGTTTTTTACAAGTTAAATCTTTGCATTTTTTCATCTCACAATCACAAAAAAGAAGAAAACACAACAACAATGACCTTGAATCATGGGATGTTGACTCACACTTATCACTCTTGTGTTATGGTGTCAGGTGCAGCCCAAACACTTGCCCTGCATTGGAGTCTGCTGCCTTCACATTGCAGCAAAAATGGTCGAGGAAGAAAGCAATGTCTCACCCACCCATGAACTCATTCGCATCAGTCAAAGCAAGTTCACGGTGTCTGACCTGTGTCGTATGGAGAAGATCATCTCAGAGAAGCTGAGCGTGGAGCCCGAGGCAGTGACAGCTATAACCTTTCTGCACCTCTACTACCCAGCCTTTACATCCCTCTCAGCTGGAAGGTAAGCTTTTCATTTTCTTTGGCTTACTCTTGTTATTATTGCTGATACATTGCTCCAGTTTGCATTGAGTTGGTCAAACACATGCTGCCTTATGAGCTTTTTACTGGCGGATCACATTAGGATTCCCTCTATATTTTAAGGGAGGAGATCCCAAGCATTGGGAGACTGGAAGCCCAGCTAAAAGCCTGCTTATGCCGGCTTGTTTTCTCTAAAGCAAAAGTAAGGATTGATATCCGAAGAACATTTCATAGCATAGCAGACTTCACATTGTGTCATGTGACTTATGAATTTACTGACTTCCTTCTTCACAGCCATCAGTGCTGGCGCTGTCCCTCATTGCTCAAGAGTTCGAAGGCCTCCAGTCCATCGCCTTGTTGAAGATTGTACAGCAATTCCAAAGACACCTAAAGGTATTTAGGATAGGGCTGCCACAACTAATTATTTCCTTAATTAATCACTGATGTTTACGCTGTAAAAATATCGACATAGTGTAAAATGGCCATCACATCTCCTTATAGACCTTGGTGTCTTAAAATGTCTTGTTTTGTCTGAGAAATAATCTGAAACCACTTGAAAAAATGACTTAAGCTATTTGTTATCCAGCTTTTAGGCCACAAATATTCTATAGATTAATTATAGACTAAATCAATTCGCACTTTTTAAAGTTACGCTTTCATTAGGCTTCATAGTGTCTGATGTGAAATCCATATTTTTGATAAATAATCCAACTTCTTTCCTCTATGTTTTTCTGGACTTTTTTGTCCACTGCTGTCAGACTCTTGGATTCAATTTGTTTTCACTGTTTTGCATCACATTATGTTGAAAGACATATTTCACAGCATTTAACTCTCTTATATGGCTCATATTTTACTGTTTTTTTTCCTTTACTCCATTACTTCTTACAAAAATCTTACATCTGCCTTGTATAATAAGTACTTGAGTTTAAATTGCACAATGTGGCATCTCGGTGTCACCGCCTTACCACGTTAACATGTATGTGGGAAAACTGTTGTTGATGACTTTTAAGACTGTTTTCTGTTTGCCGCCTCTCAGATGTTTCCTGTTTTGTTTTTTTCACAGATCAGTGAAGGCGAGCTTCTCCACTGGAAGGAACTTGTGGCAAAATGCATGACTGAATACCGCTCAAGTGAATGTAACAAACCAGACAACAAAAAGCTTGTTTGGATCGTTTCGAGGAGGACGGCTCAGAATCTTCAAGCCAATCACTTCTCCGTGCCCGGGCTGCCAACGATTCCCGAGGGGAGCTGGGACGAGAGTGAAAGGTTAATATTCCAGTTTTCTTAATCCCGAATGCCAACGCACACATTTTTAAGTTTCATGGAGGCCTCCAATTCATGACTTGGACAAATCACAGCTGCTAAAATTAAATACATTTTTGCTGGAAAAGACAGTCTTACCAATCCAAGCCTTAATTTAATACACACTCTGGCCTTTTTGATGTCTACATTTGAATGTTTAGCCCTGGCTCAATAGCATTTTTAGACCTTTCATGTAAATAGCCACATGTTTTATACTTCACACTTGAAGTTTGCAACACATGCTTTCTGTTTTAGAAAATGTGTCTCCTAGCCAAAGCCGAAAAAACTCTATAGTTATTTTTATTTAAGGCAGAGCACATATAGCTTTGGAACTGGAGGGTCGCTGGTTCAAGTCCCAGAATGGACCAAATACGGAGTGTGGACTGGTACTTTGAGAGGTCCAAGTTCCCCTCCTTGTTTCTGCCAAACTGCCCTTGAGCAAGGCCCCACTCTGCTCCATGGCGAACTGCATACATAACAACTGCCCACTGCTCCTCAAACTTGAAGTTAAAGTTAAACTTAAAATGCAGAGTCTAAATTTCACTGTGCTTTGACGATGAAAAAGTAGATTTTAATTGAATCCTTCATTTCCATTACACAACATGTTCTGTCCGTTCACTCATTGATTAATCAGCACTCAGTATTAACGGCATCTTTTTCTCCCCTAGCGAGGACTCTTGTGAGGACATGAGCTGTGGAGAAGACAGCCCATGCGGCTCGCCAGGAAGTGACGGCGAAGGAGCCTTCTTCTCCTCTGCCTTTCTCAACCGCCAAAAGTGACGAGTCCTCATTGTGAAGTAGTCAGAAGTGTGTTTGTTCCCTGAACTGTATCTGATTTAAGGTGGTCCTCATGTTTCTGAGTAAACCCGTGTTTCACTCGTCATACCACCAAAGGTACGACAAGTGACATGTTTCAATCAAGTGCCTGTGTTGATTCAGTTAACTGTCGTGTTTTTTTATGTTATAAAAAAACATATCGTATTAATGCAAAATGGAAAATTGCAATATCTTGGCAGCTTGATGGTAATCTGAATGTCTTTTTCCGAGATGTTCTCTTTTGTGTTTGTTTGTGTCCAAGCTGGGCATACTCCAGGAAAAGCAGTGAAGCACAACGGAGAAATAGTGTATCAGTCATGAGGTACACTCACTATTGAATACCAGCTAACACACTAACACATTCTCATAAAAATATTCAAACCCGTTTTTATAATCATTACTTTAAAAATACACAGTATTCTGCAAGTGTATGTTATGTACACAATCCTAATGTGGCAAATAGACCTTTGTAGTGTGAAAATACCAGACTGTATATGCATGGAATCATAGAATATCTGATTATGAATGGATGTTTAAAAAAATGTATATATCATGTAAAAAAAGAAGGAAAAAATTGTATGTTTTGTGAATGCTACATTATGAATGTTGTATTTGATTACGTGTGAGTGTGTTGGAAGGTTCAGAAACAATACTTCCAAATAAAAAAAGCTTTGTATACATTGTTTGCTTCAATTCACTTGATTGTATTTTGAATTGTCAACTGGTGGTGAACTGGAGCATTGCCTTAAATTAATTAAGTGCTCACACTAATATACTGAAGGTGTCATAGGCAGCTTTATCACAACAGAAATGTGTCCTCAATACAATTACAAACCAACATCTGGTACAAAACACATACTCTAGTGACAGGATTGTATTTGAGATCCTATGGTAATTCATGCATGAAACCAGACATTATGTGTTAGGCGTGTGTTGCAAAAAACATGTCCTCTCTTACTAAGTACAATGTTCGCCTCTGAAATGTAGGATTATAGAATATAAATCAAGTAAAGTACCTCAAGTATATTTGGTTGTTTGCACAAATACACATTAATATATAAAAGTAAGAAAAGTATGAACATTGTCTTAACAAAGAATAAAAGATTAAAAAGAAAGGATGCTCATGTGCATTAAAATAGGTTTATGTTTTGATATCCTTAATAATGAAGGTCCTTTTTAGATTGTTTTAATATCAATAATGGAGATGGAAGTAGGTTGCTCCTTTGTTATTTCACTAAATATATGAAATACATTTGTTTGAGTAATGTTCAGATTAAAGATCACAGGTCACACCAGAGGTATACAGTATGATCTTTCCTCCCTCATCTCCCTTTTTCTCTCCCATTCAATTTATTATCATTTCAATATTTGTATGAGAGGGGGTGATGATGATGATGATGATGATGATGATGCTGGTGGCAGTGGACGGGGCTTGTCTCTTTTAGCTGGCTGGATGTGTTGACGTGCATTTCTGCTCCATCTTCATGATTAAACCGGCAGCTCGGAGGGGAGTCGCAGCGGAGGGTGAAGCAGCAGCAGCAGCAGCAGCAGCAGCAGCAGCAGAAGAAGGAGCAGTCAGGGGGAATGAGAGCTGATCGAGTCGAGGCATCATGCACCGGACTCCAACCACCAGCCGTCCATTTTATACGATTATATGAGCACAGGAGCGCAAGTTTGTCTGTGTCCTGCAGACAGCCAGTGTGCAGAAGACCCTAAGATGAAAAAATAGGCCAACGCCTCGCTGCAGCTACATACAGGGAATGAAAACGCTCCCAAGATGGTCCGCATCGCCAAGGCCCTGGGTTTGGTTATTCTGTGCGTCGCCGTGCTCATACTGTCGCTCATCAGCTATGTGTCTCTCCGAAAAGACAGCCTCTTTGCCTCCTCTAATTTCATTGGAGGCCCGAGGATTATGTTCCACGCAGGATTTAGGTGAGTAGTTTTTGTTGATGTGATGCAGATAATTATTGTTGGGGTAAAATATAAACACTGAGGCCTTGTGTTGACGATTCAACCTGAATGTGATGCATTTACAAGCGCACCCCTTTCCCTTCAATTTGGTTAAAAAAGACCTTCTGTCAATCAGACAGTGAGCTGTCTGAGGTGCTGATGTTGTTTCCCTGGTCGATGTGTGTCCTGATATACAGTGAAGTAAAGTACTTGCACTGTAAACGTGTGCATCATCAGCAGCTTCACATCCTGAGCTCAAAAGTACTTTTACTCAATTACTTATTATTATTATTATTATTATTACTTATTACTTATTACAATTACTTATTTTGAGTCACATGCACTTCATTTGTATGTTTATTTATAGTATAATACTGTTTCTTTTTACCCTGCTACATTTATTGGACAGTTATAGTTCTGACTTGTTAGGTTGAAGACCATTACATTACCATAGCAGATTACAGTGGTGGAAAGTAACATGCATCATTTTGAGGTACTAGTACTTGAGTATTTCCATTCCATGTTTCCATTTATTTGACTTTTTACATAAATAAAACATACGGTATATAATTTGATACAATACAGTAGTAATCTTTCCTATGGTATTTAAAACATGTAAAATGGACTCGACTGACAAGTTACAACATTAAATTACTCTTGAATGGATTCGTTAGTTAAAATACATAATATTACTGTATGCAAAGTGGTGAAAGTTGGCTTTACCTCATCCAGCTAAAGCCCTTTCTAACTAAATGTGTAATAAAAATGTTGGTATTATATTGTCCATGACTTTAAGACAGAGTTTTAAATTAATCTAATCTGCCATTGTAAATGTCAGTAATTTATCAATAAATGGATTTTGGTGCTGATCCAAAGCAGACCTTTTCCTGAACAGTCCTACCAGATAAAGGAATATTTTACGTAAACTGGTTGTAAATATTTTACAACCAGGCTACCTAAAGTTATTGACGATAAAGATCAGATTAATAATTAACTGATGCATTTATCTGTTCGGATATATAAAATGTGTTCAGGCTTTCTGTTGCATTTGAAAGGATAAAGAAACATTTCATTTAAACATTTTCCGAGAACATGGAGACAACAAAGCGCGACCATATCCGACATTAATGCTTGTTTGTGGCTTTAGGAAAAACTCCTTATTTTCCCAGAATGACCACACCAGATCTGTGTGGATTTATTTTTCAAATACCTCAATAATAAGACAATATCAAACATAAACAAATGCGAGAGCAGTTCCCACATGTCACACAACACTGTCTCAGAATCATATTTTTTAAATCATTGTTGTTCACAGGTCTCAGTTTGCCTTGAATTTCCTGGACCCCTCTTTCATCCCCTTAACTAACGCTCTGAACGAAGAGCTCCAGGGAAAATCGTCCAAATGGAAGTTCAACAAGACAGCTTTTTATCAGCAGAGGTGAGATATTGAAATTCTAGCTATTTACAACCCTACTTCTACTTCTACTGTAGGCCTAGTTTATGTCACCCTGCAGGATATGTTTGTAAGGTTTCTCTGTAAAAGCTATTTTTTTTATACTTCCCACTTTGATACTGTCACAGAGTTCTGCCACTGCCTGTCACATTTATTTTCTTTCTTCAGGAAAGATATCTTCCGCCACATTGACATTCCCACCAACTTCTCCCTCACAAAGAACAGTGTGCGTGTCGGCCAGTTGATGCACTTTGACTACTCCAGCCACAAGTACGTCTTCTCCATCAGCAACAACTTGAAGTCCCTGCTCCCAGACACCTCTCCAATCCGCAACAAACATTACAGCATGTGCGCCGTGGTGGGCAACAGCGGTATCCTAACAGGAAGCCACTGTGGCCCCGAGATCGACCAGGCCGACTTTGTCTTCCGCTGCAACTTCGCCCCCACAGAGATCTACTCCAAGGACGTGGGCAAAAAGACCAACCTGACCACCTTCAATCCCAGCATCCTGGAGAGGTACTACAATAACCTGCTGACCATTCAGGACAGGAATAATTTCTTCCTCAACCTGAAGAAGCTGGAGGGAGCCATCCTGTGGATCCCTGCCTTCTTCCTTCACACCTCAGCCACAGTTACCAGGACCCTGGTGGACTTCTTTGTGGAGCACAAGGGACAACTGAAAGTGGAACTGGCCTGGCCTGGAAACATCATGCATGATGTCAACAAGTAAGAGTGTAGATCTTCTTGATAGGTCATTTACCGTCAACCAACGGGACATTGCAGTGATTGTGTTTTTATACAATTTACCACTGCATACGTGAATTGGGATTATTGTGTGTCATAATGATGAAAGATTAATCCTTTTTATTATTCTTATTCTTTAACATGTAATTTCTGATTGTGGATGACTTACTTGTATTTTCTTCTTACAGATACTGGAAGACTAAAAACCTCTCCCCCAAACGTCTCAGCACTGGAATCCTAATGTACACGCTGGCCTCCGCCATGTGCGACGAGATCCATCTCTACGGCTTCTGGCCTTTTGGATGGGACCCCAACACAGGCAACGATCTGCCGTACCACTACTACGACAAGAAAGGGACCAAATTCACCACCAAGTGGCAGGAGACCCACCAGCTGCCCACCGAGTTCAAGCTGCTCTACAAGTTGCACAGGGAGGGTGTGATTAAACTCAGCGTGACGCACTGCTCGTAGATTCGCCATGGATGAGTCCAGAGACCAGATACAGCTCACTTCTGTTGTGAACCACAATGCATGATAAGTGTTAATGCAAATTTCTAGACCCTCAATCGACAAACACACATTCACATCACGCTGTAACTTCCCATGACAATGTCACAGACTTATCACAGCGTTGTAACTCATTTATTGGTATATTGTTGTCTTTAGCACTGCACAGTTAGGGCTTTTTACGTCGATCAGTTGCTTACATTACTCTCTTTTGCATGGCTTCTGGCCGTGGTGACACAGCTTGAACTATAAGTTTGGCAGGAGGATGCAACAAAAAGTCAAATCATACAGTTAAGTTTAACACAGTATTGATTTATTAATCGCCTTTTACAGCAGTATACTGATTCTTTACACTGAAATCACTGCCTAATCTCAGGGAAAGAGTTAGATCAGTGTATTGTTGTAATCAGATTAAATGCCTCAAGAGAGGTGCAGTTTCTGTTTGCAGGCCTTTTTCTCCCCATGAGGTGTCAGACAATCTGCACGTCTCTAGAAGATGGTATTTGTTTACAAGACTACACCCCATATAAATATATACACACACACACACACACACACACACACACACACACACACACACACACACACACACAAACAAACACACATATATATATAGATATATATATATATATAACATTTCAAATGTTGTTGTTCAATTTTTCTTTTGATTCTACTACTACTATTTTTTTTAAGTTATTTGACATTCCAACAATAAGCCATAAATTCATGGACAGTGCGTTGTCATTTGAATACAGAATTTTAGAAAGTGGTATTGACCTACATTAGGTTTTGTGACATTTAAAATATCTTCCAACAAGACTACCATTAGCAAGTCCACAGCCATACTAGCGGCATTTGAGTCATTGAACTTCCAAAAAAATAAATACCCAAAATGGTGTTTACCAACACAGCGTTTTCATACATTTATTTGAGTTTGGCACCAATTGAGCAAGGACCATTCTAAAGGTTATTTTATGATATTTAAAATATATCTCAAAGGCAGTAGGCTACGTTGGGTTAAAGAGCACAGGTTATTTATTTTTCTGTCAATTACAATTTTTGTTCTATGAAGCGAATGTGTCAATGCATGAGAGTCACAAAGTGGGGCTAAGATTGCTCCAGCTCTACGTAAATTCATTTCCCAGTTTGTCCTAATTAACTAATAGCTAGTTTAAAAACTCAGGAAGAAGGCCAAAAAAAGTAGCCCCCCATAAAACTAATTTTGTTTTGCTTTTTACATGTTTTTTTGTACAAATGAGGTCTATGTATCCTTTAAAACCCAATATCTTTGCTAATAAATACTTTAAAATGTATTAGGGGGTCAAAAGACTGACAATCCTGTGTAAACGTTGGTATGACTATTGTCATATGCATTGCCTACATAGAAGACAACATAATGCAGAAATAAGTATGTTTTTAAGTAAGGCTAGTAATATTAATGCAGTTTAGCACTGCAGATTGCCAAATGTTCGATCATGCTAATCTAGCATTTTTTCGGTCCTTAAATCTGACTTTCCTGGCATATCGTTTTGTAATTTGAGGTATTTGATAAAGTTTACATTTTAACACAGTTTAGATATGTCAAATTCAATACCATCTTTTTTACTGCTTAATTCAAACTGATGTTTGTTAACAAGCTAACGTTAGCTTTATCAGTTGGTTCAGATGAAGTTAGCCTGCACCTGCAGTTAAATCAGCGTATATCTTATATTAATACCTAAGACAACACATACATACTTGTTTGAAGCTCATGTGTTTGAAATGATCAAAAAGGCTAAGTTTAAATTCACGAACAGCTGCAACCAGCTCCAGAAAACAAAGCTGTTGAATAATTGAAAAATGGAGACACAATTTTACAATTCTTGTCAATAACAGGGCAGAACATTTAAAGTTAATCCAGAGGGTACCAGACCATCTTGTGACCTAAATTGCAGCGCTAGCGTGGCAATTATAAATAGAAAAATAAATCATTTTGGACAGTTTTTTTAATAACAACAAGGGAACTTAAAGTTTACCACTATTCCAAATATATCTATAGATCAAGAGGAAAATACACTATTTGTTACATATCTTTAGTTGGAGGGGGGTTAATCATCCATCATGTCCCATATCATTCCAATATTTGTGACATAAAACAAGGAATTTAGTGAATGTTATATTCAGTGCATCTCGTATAAAGAGCATGATCCATTTAAATGACATTGCATGTGAGGCACTAACAAATCTTTTAGGCTAGTTTTATACAACCTTTTTGAATATTGTTTTGAGGGTAAAAATTTAGTTATTTGCTATTGTTTGTACTCCTGATGGTGTATTCCTCAAGGATAACACCAGTGTCTTTGTATAAGATACTTCTGAAGGCTAAAGAAAGAACCCTAATATATTTTACATGGGACCAAAACCTATAGATAAACTTAAAAATGAACAAGCTTTATCTTTTGTAACTCTAGATACTCTTGGGTTCTCAAAAACAGTGTTCCCTGTCATGCTTCACTGATGCAGGACATGGGTGGGTGTGGGGTGGTTTAAAGCTTGCCACATGACTCGTCTCATGACTCTACAATGTGGTCCTGGTTGCAAACCCTGGCTGAGACTGGGGTTTAGAACATCGAGCTACGCAGTCATTCATACTTCTAGATGTGTGCTTTTGTGCTCATTTAGATATAGTATGTGAGGCATTTGCTTGGCATGCTGTCATACACTTAGAGTTCCTTTTGCTGTCTCATTTTCAGATGACCTTTGTGTCTCGTCTCCGAATAACAGTGCAGTAACAAACATGAAACCACATATCGGATGATACTGTTTGAACTTTAGCTGAATTTTATTGATGTCATTTATGTCTACATTAAAGGATATTTTCTGTAGACCCTTCATAAGAAATGTTTACACCAAAGACAAAGTGTTCAAAGAGGAAATGTTTGGCTGGATAAGGATTGATTTGGGATTAAGGAAGCCGAATGACAATTAACAACAAGTATTATTGTTACAGAAATAGAGTTTCCTTTTATGGTGTTGAATTTGATGTTGAATATCATTCTTTGTGGCACAACAATGATTTCAAACTTTTTGTTTCTTGGCTTCAGCCAAAGTAATGTGGTGGAATTTAATTGTGACTCCATGAATGTCCTAGACAGATTTGTTTGAAAAATCCACTGACATGAATGCGGGACATTTTTAAGTTTCTCTCTTTATTTAATTAAAATCAATGTTTAGAATGTGTGTAAACAATAACAATGCTAACAAAGTCTGCGAGGATTGTATTTCCAGTCAGATTAGCAGTTGTGTGTATCTTTGTGTGCATTACATTTAAAACGACAAGACAGTGACATGTACATAAACATAAAATGTCTTTATTCCAAACGCAGCACTATACAGGTTTTCGTTCCAACAACCCTTTAACATTCTTGTACTTGTGTTTGATCTGCATGGCAAATATGTTCCATAATGCATAAAAAAGCTTGGCTGCTTATGTACATGTCGTATACAATTCATAAATCATAAATGACTTAGCTATCTTGGTTGTTCTAACAAAAACAATCATCCATATAAGAAATGTAACCATGTCTTAAATGTTTTTGGATTATACTCCATGATAAATATACGTTATGTGCCTACATATTCTTCCATCAATGCCTCAATGTGTCAAATAAAAACTTTTTCTCTGATATGACCCATTTTAATACAATAATTGACTGTTTTTCACCTGGTGTCTCTAAAACATCCCAGTTTTATAACAATACCTGTACATACTTACTATATACAGTTTCTAGGGATACAGTTTCTAGGGTCTTGGACTCCCCTTTCTCACAGACTGTGAATAAACAACATCACACAGCAATTTTTAAGAGGGGAATTCGCATTGTCACAACAATATTGGGCCCACATTTTTAATTTTTTTGATCTTAAAAGATCCCAGCCTGACCTATCAGGCACCCAAGTTACGCTTTAGAAAACAGCAGCATTTTGAAAATATTGTTATTTGGGGCAAACGTGGGAAGAGTGACTACTGGTGGTAACATCAGCAGGCACACGTCCTCCTCACAGGAGCCTCCTCCACCTCATGGCTGTTGATGGGGCTGCCGTTGGGTTCAGAGCTGGGGCCTCCGGGAATGCTCTGCTCCATCCTCTTCATCACCAGATCCAGCAGCGTGGTCACTGCCTGGTCAACATCATCACCAGTCATTGCACTCGTCTCAAAATAGGGGATGCTGACGAGAACGGAGAGAGAGATTAATGTGCCAGTTTTACCCAGAGAGGATTTTAGTGTGTTGCTGCTGCTGACTGACTTGAGTAATTCAAGTTGAGTAGTTCAAACTAAAAAGTATTCTCAATGTACTTAATGGGGAAAATAAGTAATTGGCCTGAAACAAAGAAAATAGCATCCCAAACTTCTGAAAAGGCCTTTCATTTATACAACTTGATGGATTTCATTTAAAAGCACCTCAACTTGTTAAAATATCTTTCAATGTAGATTTTACATTACTATACATTTTGTATCACTACTTTTTCTTGTTTTTCTAAGTATCCATTTTCTTTGTACGTATGATTATTGATATTTAATAAATAGGGAGGTATCTTCTTAAGCCATTTTTGGCTTTTAACCTCTCCTATACAATGTTCTAAGACGGATTTTTCCTACTATCTACCGTTTTCTATAAACTCATGATCCTCAAACTTGTATCTTATGACCCATTGCTGGGGCCCTGACCCAAACACTGGGAAACTACTGTGCTCAATAAAATTACAAAACCCTAGGAGGAAGATCCATGTTAAAAAGAGCTCACTGCCACCATCCTGTGTTGTACTGGTGAGAGAAGTAACATGAGTGGGCTGCAGTACCCCCATCTGCGAGGCTCCACTTCATAACACACGAGGGGATGGGTAATAACCGGAAAAGAATGACATGGGACCTTTAAATCATCCCTTATGAAGACATAACTCTTTTTTTTTAGGGGAGTAAGTGTGAAGGAAATAATGAGTATAAAGTGGCTCAAAATCTATCTTTTCTTTGAAATAATATATGTTTTTTCTCCAATGGAGTCAGAATCTTATTCTTTTGTGCTTTTAAACATAATCACCAAAGCAAATGTAGACAGAAAGTATTACTATATATTTATACTTTACAGAACCCCACCACAGCCCTTAAAATGTTCTGTAACTAAAACACTATAGTGCTGTTTGCAAAGCCTCACCCGTATCTGTCTGCCAGGTCTCTGGCTTGTCTTCCGTGAACGTCCCTCACATCCCGGAGGTCTGCCTTAGTGCCCACCAACACAATGTCTGGACTATCACAGTACGCGTTGGCCTGTAGCTGACCTGAACCAACACAGAGGAAGTCCTTTTACACCCATGTAATGCAAATCGACACACATGAGCTTCAAACTCTCTTAGTTGACTTTCTCAACTCTCTAAACTCTGTGGCAACAACAGAGAGAACATATATCCAAAATAGTATTTATCTGAAGCAAAGCAGTGATGCTGAGATGACACATACTCATCCAGTTCCTGACGTTTAGGAAACTTTGCTGACTGGTCAAGTCGAACATCAGCAGGAAGCCCATGGCGTCCCTGAAGAAAGCTGTGGTGAGGCTGCGGAACCTGGAAAAAGATCAGTTTCACAGTATGAAGCTACCATGTTGAGATTTGATCCACTGTTAGGTCAAGATAGAAATACCTCACCATCTGCTGGAGGGTTTGTCATGACATTTTTCTACAGACATTCATGAAGGGTGAATCCTACTGATTTTGGTGATACCCTGGCTTCTCTAGCGCCACCAGCAGGTTGACACGTTCAGTTTATTCCGAAATTGAATCCACATCTATCATATTGCAAATTAGATACATCCTACCGACTTTGGCGACCCCACAACTTTTCCTTTGAAGTTTGACAGCCCAATGGGCTTGAGATTTCTAGTTTTTAAGTCAAATGTCTTAACAGCTTTTTTACCTCAGGCTAGTGATTCAGTCTCAGTCTCAATGAATAATAAAGCCAAGCAGTCCTTTCTATAAGACTCTGCTATATCTATAACATATGTTGTTTGTATTCCTAGAAGCGCTGCTGTGTGTGTCTCCCTCTCTCTTTCTGTTAACTCAGGCTTATTGAAACTTGACCATCAGCAGCCCTGGCAAACTCTCTGTCTTCTTGGTGTTGGTGCCTTTTTACAATTAATGAAATATTTTTTTACGATGTTGTTTTATTATGTATTGCCTATCTGTCTGTTCCAGTAAACGTTTTGGGGGGCTTTCTCTTTATTCAAAGCAAGGGTTGAAAAGGAAGAGGCTGTTGTGTCTTTTACAGATGGAGAAACTGTATAACATTTGGCTATTTTATTAAATATGAACAAAATAATTTGAGGGTCAATTAGGCTCTAATCTAAAGGCAGACACATTTTCAGCATGCAAACATGTTCTCGAAACCCAAAATGTAAGTGTCACCATGCAAATGTCCATTATGTCCAATACTTTGTTATCCAATACCAGCTAAACTAATGACATGCCCCTCAGCCTCAACTGCAGTTTGTGTTAAGTTGGATAATGTTTGAATGCTAATATGCTAAACTGAACTATGTTAGTAGTCCAAGGTCCACACTCACAGAGCTGATAGCATAGCATTCGACTGTTTTTGTGATTATAGCATTTTTCAAATAATTCTGAAGGTATAAGGCACTTGCTTTCATTCCATTTAAATGAACACGTCCTAATGTAAAATATATAGTAAACATCCAGGTTAGGTTTACCTCTCTTGTCCCGCCGTGTCCCAAAGCTGAATGTGGACATTGAAGTTCCTCTCAGATGTTCCATCAGCACCTTTCCCAGTGTACATCTGAACCAAAGGGAGAACATCTTTTGACTCAGTTACATATTATTTTATATGAAGAAACATGCTTGTATGCATCACTTATAGGCATCACTCACCACTCTCTTTTCCCTGAAGTCAATGCCCACTGTGGTGGTGAACTTGCGGTTGAACTTCTGGTCGGTGTACCTGTAGAGGAAGGTGGTCTTCCCCACCCCTGAGTCCCCGAGAGCCAGCAGCTTGATCAGATAGTCATAGTCCCAGTCAGCCATTGTGCAGCTGAGTGCCTAACCTGCCACAGAAGTGAACTCACAGTACACTGCTATAATGGTTTGATGGATCATGTAACATAAGAGGGGAGAGAAAGCTGGCATAAGTCAACATTTCCAGGTTGAGTAAATTAGAACAGGAAGGCGAAATACTCCACTTAAACTGCATTTTTCAGTCCCAGGGTTCAGGACATCACACAGGATTAAAACAAGACGTCATACCTCCACACTCATTAGGCTCTGATCAGAGAGGGGTGAGCACATGACCAGGGCTGGCTTCCACATGAGCAGTCAAATGTTTTGCCAGTTTTCTCAGACTTTGCTTGGTAAAAAAACAGGGGCCTATTTAGCAGACAGCACTCCTTTGATTGACTTTAAGGTCCACAGTCAGACTGCTAAACGGTGCGTGACACCACTGAAGTCACCACAATGCTTTGGTTACACTTTCAGCTCAGAAGCAGAGAAAAATAGCATTTATTTCCTTCAGTTTATTCAACATTTCAATTTGCGAAGGAGCATTCAGAGAATATATGGTTAACTCAGATTTCAACGCCACAGTAGTGAAAATGGATACTATGACATTTGGAGTTATTTCCCATGTATTGTATTCTTTGAATCAGATGAGTGAGGAGAGGCTGAGTAATCAACACCATAAACTGCAGAAACAACAGTCCCTGTCTTTATCTGACAGAACCTTATCAAAACGATTTTCCTCAAATACCCATTGAGACAAATAAAGCTACCTTAAAATGACAAAAAAGTAATATACCTTACCAGTCTATCTGTAGGTAGTGCCACTGCCCATTCAGATATCACTCAACTCGTCCTGACAGAATACAATATCCACTATCATGATGCTATGGCACATCCTGAACCTTTCCCCCTTCTTACATGTGATCCAGGGAGGAGTCTCAGACCAGCAGGAACTCAGCGAGGCTGCACTCACAGACCTTGTATTTTCTGGTATTTCTCATGAAAGGGGGAAAAACGGGCTCTTTGAAAACTTGATGTGGACGATATAAGCCTCTGTGGATTTCAGCGGAAATCGTCCAACCAAGGAACGAGGGCCCCCACTTCCAGAGGCTAAACCATCCCTAAGTAATCCTGCTTCTATAAACAATGGGAAAATACAAAAACAAGACTTCATTTGGGTGCCCTTATAATTTTGAAAAGGACCTTTATCCATGTTTGCAGATTGTCACATAAGATTACTTTAGGTAAAATGAGATTGCAAACATTATGTGTAAGGCAGCAACAAATCAAGCCGTTTGTAAACGTTTTGAAATCAATATAAAGTTTTATAAACAATAAATCTCTGCATTTTAACTCTTAAATACAGGAGTGGAAAGAAAAATAGAAACCCCTTAATCATAAACTGTCAGAAATGTTTATCAAATTCAACAGTTAAGCATTATTTATTGACTTCATAAGTCTGTAGTTCTTATATGCCAATAGACAAAATCAATGACACATTAATTAACTGTGTAATGATATGCTGTTGTGGATCTTACTGTGTATTATTTTTGTTATGATTTTTTTACTGAAAGAAATACTGTACGTAATTTTGATATATTATCTTTAATGCGTCTGAAATTATTGTCATGAAACTTGTGTTTAGTTTTAATTTACAGTGGTATTACTTTTGAACAAATGGAAAAGTATTTTTTAATAGAACATGACAAAATAGATCACAAGAGATGATTGTAATAAGTTACCTTATGCAGAAGTAACTAGTCCCTCTCTAACTGGGTTTGAAATACTTGAACAGATTGTTTGCCTGACTGCCTTTGCCTGCAGCCTTTCTGTCTTTGGTCGTCAGGCTTCTTCCTGGTTTTTTGGATGAGGGCGTCTTCAACACCGGCTTCTTTTGCTTCCATTCAGACATCAACTCCCTCTGAACATCCGGCGGAAGCTCTGAAAACACCTTAGGGTCCACATTTCCTGGAAAATCGCAGTCAGAAGACCGGGCAAATGACGCTCTCCCTACTTCCATGACGTTCTCTACTGTGCCCGCAGGCCTCTGGTGATTCACGGTGGTTGGCCTATCAGATGAACCTAATTTGTTCAAAGCCTCTTTTATGTCTTTTTGCGAGTCATTAAACGACTCGTGTGTTGTGCAGGGGGGATCAACAAGAGCGGATGAGTTCACTGAAGTACCTGGGTGAGAGTTTGTGTAAGCAGGGGATAACAGCTCCTTCTGGATTTCCACAGGGAGAAGCCTGAACACTTCAGGGTCAAAATGTGGGGGCAATTGAGGTGTCCCTGGTACATCTAGTTCCTCACTGTGTGACATGCAGGATACCCTCAGAGTGTCTTCTACAGCAACAACAGGGCTCTGTTTTATTGTAGTCCCGTGTAATGCTGCCTCAGAGCTACGAGACCTTTTAGTTGTTACTGTCTTTTTTGAGGTAGGTTGAGTAATCACGCTGTGTGTGCTAAGCGGACGATCCGAGCAGTGACTACCCCCGTTCTGAGAGGAGGAATCCTAATGGAGAATCAAAAAAGAGGAGCCGATTTATTTCAGGAATTTCAAAGTACTGACACACAATTTCTGTAAGAATCATGAACCAGCACAGTGTGAAATTTTAAGAATTTTGAAGATCTTTTTAGTACCACATAAATGCATTTTATTACCTGCATACCGCTTAAAGTATGAATATGTGAAGGAATAAATCCCGAATTCAATGCTTTCTAGAAAAGGTTTTAAGTCCTCCAGATACCATAATGGGAATTATCTTATCAGTATTTACAAGAACGATAATACAGGATTATTCACTGTGCTACCTGGCTTTGTGATGAGCAGATTTGTTGTGTTTTTCCGAGTGACGTGCTTTGTCTGAAGAAGGATGTTATCGAGCCCTTTCCTCTGACGGCAGCCCCCTTGGTCTGCAGGTTGCTGAAGCAAACGTTAAGTAGGGTGAGGTGGAAGGCGGCGCTGCTGTCCACCATCTTGTGGAAGAGCTTCATGGCCAGAGGGAGCAGCAAGACCACAGCATCTTCACTGCTCTCTGTAGAAACATTACAGACAAAATACTTTTATTCAGGTTTTTGAAATAAGTCTGCATGTCTATTGTCATATTTTAATGATGTCATCTCCCTAAAATAACAAAAGAAAATCGTTTTTTGTAGTTATATAAGTGTAACGTAGTCCCTTAATTGTCCAGTGGGAACAAAGCATTTTTTGTGTTTCTCACGACACTATAATGATTGGCTGTCAATAAGAAATGATGAAGACCATCTATTTATATATTTTTTTATTTTGAGAAAGGGGCAGGTAATATTAATTTATTTTCCCTGCTTCTTTGCGGGTTTGGTGTGTTTACAGAGACATGTTAAGTAAATAATTGTTATACGTTGAGTTTGTGCATACCATGAACGGAACAAAAAATAAATAAATGAAATTAAGAATAATGAAATGGTGTTGTTAGCAGGCTGCTAAACTACCCCTGAAATGCAGGTACAGTGGGGCAAAAAAGTATTTAGTCAGCCACCAATTGTGCAAGTTCTTCCACTTAAAAAGATGAGAGAGGCCTGTAATTTTCATCCTAGGTATACCTCAACTTTGAGAGACAAAATGAGAAAAAAAATAAAATCCAGAAAATCAAATTGTCTGATTTTTAAAAGACTTTATTTGCAAATTATGGTGGAAAATAAGTATTTGGTCAATAACAAAAGTTCATCTCAATACTTTGTTATATACCCTTTGTTGGCATTGACAGAGGTCAAACGTTTTCTGTAAGTCTTCACAAGGTTTTCACACACTGTTGCTGGTATTTTGGCCCATTCCTCCATGCAGATCTCATCTAGAGCAGTGATGTTTTGGGGCTGTCGCTGGGCAACACGGACTTTCAACTCCCTCCAAAGATTTTCTATGGGGTTGAGATCTGGAGACTGGCTAGGCCACTCCAGGACCTTGAAATGCTTCTTACGAAGCCACTCCTTCGTTGCCCGGGCGGTGTGTTTGGGATCATTGTCATGCTGAAAGACCCAGCCACGTTTCATCTTCAATGGCCTTGCTGATGGAAGGAGGTTGTCACTCAAAATCTCACGATACATGGCCCCATTCATTCTTTCCTTTACACGGATCAGTCGTCCTGGTCCCTTTGCAGAAAAACAGCCCCAAAGCATGATGTTTCCACCCCCATGTTTCACAGTAGGTATGGTGTTCTTTGGATGCAACTCAGCATTCTTTCTCCTCCAAACACGTCTAGTTGAGTTTTTACCAAAAAGCTCTATTTTGGTTTCATCTGACCATATGACATTCTCCCAATCCTCTTCTGGATCATCTAAATGCTCTCTTGGTTTCATCTGACCATATGACATTCTCCCAATCCGCTTCTGGATCATCTAAATGCTCTCTAGCAAACTTCAGACGGGCCTGGACATGTACTGGCTTAGCAGGGGGACACGTCTGGCACTGCAGGATTTGACGTCCTGGCGGCGTAGTGTGTTACTGATGGGTAGCCTTTGTTACTTTGGTCCCAGCTCTCTGCAGGTCATTGACTACGGTCCCCCCGTGTGGTTCTTGGATTTTTGCTCACCGTTCTTGTGATCATTTTGACCCCACGGGGTGAGATCTTTTGTGGAGCCCCAGATCGAGGGAGATTATCAGTGGTCTTGTATGTCTTCCATTTTCTAATAATTGCTCCCACAGTTGATTTCTTCACACCAAGCTGCTTACCTATTGCAGATTCAGTCTTCCCAGCCTGGTGCAGGTCTACAATTTTGTTTCTGGTGTCCTTTGACAGCTCTTTGGTCTTGGCCATAGTGGAGTTTGGAGTGGGACTGTTTGAGGTTGTGGACAGGTGTCTTTTATACTGATAACGAGTTCAAACAGGTGCCATTAATACAGTTAACAAGTGGAGGACAGAGGAGGCTCTTAAAGAAGAAGTTACAGGTCTGTGAGAGCCAGAAATCTTGTTTGTTTGTAGGTGACCAAATACTTATTTTCCACCATAATTTGCAAATAAATTCTTAAAAAATCAGACAATGTGATTTTCTGGATTTTTTTTTCTCATTTTGTCTCTCATAGTTGAGGTATACCTAGGATGAAAATTACAGGCCTCTCATCTTTTTAAGTGGGAGAACTTGCACAATTGGTGGCTGACTAAATACTTTTTTGCCCCACTGTATGTGTGTTTCTCTTGAGGGAGAACAGTGTTTTGACTGCACTTCAAATCTGTTTTGTAAAGGCTCTACCCCAAGCAATTGATAGGAATGTGCAAAAATAACAGCTTTAAACAGAATGAATACAAATACAAAAAATGTTGATCAAATATTGATTTTGATTTTGAATGTCAATGTGATGAATGTGACTTTAAACTATTCCATACTGCTTTATATGCTTTCAGGTATTTTTAAAGTGAGGGGAGGCCCTAATAAAGTTTCTCCATGTGCCATCCTGAGCTCTTGCAGTCCTTCATGGGGCTGGAGCTTACCTGAGGGGATCTTCTGTCCAACGTGGTTTGGGATCGGACACTGCCGACTCTCCCGGTTGAACCACTTATTAGTGGCAGAGTATTTACGGATGGTCAGCCTGAAGGTTTGAGGCTGCCTGCCATCATTCCGCATCCTAGTTTTGAAAAAGATGATAAAAGTTTAGATTCCATGGCCTTGAGCAAATAATCAAAAAAAAAACAAGTATCTCACCTCTCCACCAGATTGCTCAGGAGTTCTTGAGTCTTTTCCAAAACTTCTTTAGTTGATGATATCTTCTTGAAAGAGTCCTCATCACTAAGAGACTGAAACAGGAAAAGGATAATCATTAAGGTAAACTAAGGTGAAACATTTATGTATATTTTTTTCTTTTTTGGGATTTCCAGACCTACCTGAGGGGCCCCAGTAGGGGTGACTGGTGACTCATCTATTCCTAGGGCCAGATTCTTTAAGCGCTGAGCGCTGGGAGCTCCAAACTCTCTCGCCAAATCATTCAATGGGAAGAGCTGAAGGTCTTTCACGCTGGCCAATCCCAGGGCTTGAAGTCTCTTAGAAGTTTGATAACCCACCCCTAAAAAATATGTATAGTTTTAGTCCAAATGCAACCAATTAAAATCCTCTAAAATAAATTCACGCATACATCTTGGGCCTTTCAGAAATGTAATCTTAAACAATAGCATCTCTAACGGTTCTATTCTACATTTTCATCTCTTAAATGATCTACAAGAATTGCAAAAATCTTAGTCATCTTTTTTTTATCCATCAAATTATATTCACTATATGGAAACTTTTAATAGCTTTTATTATTGTATTATTGGCTTGCTTTTCTTTCTATTGGTATATTTCTATGTGTTGTTTTTCTCTATTTGATTTGTTTTAGTTTACTTGATGTCAGTGAAAATGATGGTTGCCCCTGAATAATATCTTAAATATATATAAAGGTTAAATATAGATGTATTGATGAGTAATTCGTTTTTACACTTAAGTGGAAAATCTATACCTGGTACTTTACGGAGACTGCTCAGGGAGCCCATAATGTCATCAATGTTCTCTGTCAGCAGCGTGGTCTGCTGATTGGGTTTGAAGGTGCCACCCACCAGTTTGGCCAGTAGTTTGTTGGTGGCGATGCCAGCGCAGCCAGTGAGTCCCAGTTTGCCTTTGATGTCTTCTCTAATCTCTGCTGCAATGTGTGAACCTAAAGCCAACCTTGGGTGATCCTGGGCTTCAAGTTCTGCACCTGTGCAGGAAAAGAAACACAGAATTACATCTGCGGGTGTAAAAACCTACAATTCTTTATGAGAATACAAAAGTAAACATTTCATGAGGTGAAGAAACTGAGAGTGCAATGCAAATATTTTAATGTATTTGTTGGCTTTTTCACCACTCATTTCCTGGTTTCAAAGAGCCAGATGTAAAAGATGTAATGAGGTGGAAAATCTTGAGTCAATACTGGACTTGGGATTCTTGGGGTAAGCACAGATTGTTGTATTTGTTCAGTAAATACAAACACATTTTGAACAAGACATTTACACACTAGAGAAACAAAAGATTACTTACTAGTATGGTTGTAGACATGTCCTTTAAATGAAAAGTTGTTAGACTCTGGTGTCTCTGCTAGCCTTCTTTCTACCATCTTTGTAATGTCTACAAAGTTTTCATCAAATCCAAGCCTCTCTACCAGTGGACAGTAGGACATGAGTAGCTCTGAACGAAGACAAGAGAAAAACAAGGTAAATATGAACAGAAAATAAAAATGATGCGAGCTAAAATATAAAATAGCATAGAACTATCATCAGATAATAGAGTGAGCTTGTTAAAATGCCCATTTGAACCACAAAAGAATGTATCCAACTCGTTTTAATCTCACTCAACTATTATTTTATACCACTTAACAGCCATAGACCAACATGAGAAATTAATATGGGGCAAGAGTAGGCTATAATCCAACACAGAACACAGTTTATTTGGAGGAAATCGTGCCTACCTGTCAGTTTATAGGACATTTCTCTGTAGTGTGTCAGGTCTTCTCCTTTAACCAACACTAGCTGAGGACATTTCTCCTTTGCGTCATTCACAGCCATCAGCTTGGAGACCCCCAGATCTCTTGCTACATAGTTACAGGTGACTATGATGTATTTCTGCTGAATACCTGATGATTTAAGATACGTTATTGAAGCACAATGCGAGAGTGTATTCTTCCACCACAGAGGATCTTTTGTAGTGAATCTGTTTACCTAAAGGGACCTCTCTCAGTGCAGGGTTTCTGATCATTTCCACCTGAGCATAGAAGCAGTCCAAGTCAAAATGCAAAATGACTCTGTGTGCAGGCGTTGGTCCTGATGTCCTATTGAGGCTTGGATCTGAAACAAGACACTAGTCATACACAATTCACCATTTAACACACATAGATAGGTGTGAAACAGAGACATTTTTTTGTATGCATGTTAAAAAGCTAAATGAAAGCGGAAATAAACTGCAGTTAGCCAAAGATTCTCCCTTTACCAGAAGCAGCAGTGGGAATGAGTGAGATTGAATCCACGAAACTGTATTTCCACTCGGTGTCATCCTCTTCCTTTTCATCCTCGCTGTTAGTCATTTTATACAACTCAAATGGTGTGCGTCTTGTGGATTAAATAGGTGGTTTGTGGTTGGTTGCGACCTATGGTTGCGACCAGCGCCATATAGAACCTAGAACCTGGAAAGTGCACCAAAACAATGAAAATCCTTTTTCATGTTAGTCCCAGATCAGTTCTGTTCAGTAGCGCCATTGGCGGGTTTGCGGCGAAACAAGGAACTACAAAACAGCCTTGAAATGTATTATATGTATTCGAGTAGGCCTCCTCAATTAATTGTACTCTAATACAAATAATATTAACAGGAATAATAATACAACTGTACCCTAACAGTGCAGTATAGAGCACACGTGACCCTGTATGAGGATTATACATAAAATACAGCCGGTCCGGCCAAATATTTATGACATTTTACTCCACAAAAGTATACATATTCAGGGAAAGAACCTTTATATACAGTCTATGGACAGAACACCTTTTATTTCGCATCTGGAAATATATATTTTAGGGGATTTTCGCGCCCTGACCGCTGCCTATATAATAGAGGCTGGTGTCACCCAGCTTCAGTAGGAGCCTGCACCTGTTGACGGCTCATTAGTCACAGACTGTTTGTTGCGTATCGAGAAGAAGTGTTGTGTTTGCTGATGTTTCCCTCGTCTGGTCTTTTTGCTGATATAAACTGTCCATTCTCAAAACGTGGGCTTTGTGAGCGACCTCACTGTTTGTACAAACATGCCACGGAACTGCGGGATAAATTTGGTGCCAAGTCTGCCAACTATAAATCATCGATAGTTGATTTTGCAGGTCAGTGGTTTAAGCTAATGTTATCCTAGCAACATGTGCAGGTGTGCATTAGCCCGTTGTCTTTGCCTGTTGCGTTTTTACAATTGCAAAGTAATTGAACTGTAAAGTGGGTTGAATAATGATGTGCTTTTAAAGGTTTAAACTAGTAACTTTTAAAGATGACTCAACTTAATTGTGTAATGTTAATTACGTTCCTAAAATAAGGGTTAGAAATGTACTTGAACACTTTAAGAGCAGTGGCCACTCTTGTTCCCTGTATTTTTATTTGTAAATGTTATCGATTTTCGCACATTTATCTTTAACTCTGAAGTTGACATGTTGGTGCTAAGTCCTATTTCATTTCCCTTTTTGTACAGGAGTTCAAAATGGCTATGCAGTGAATGATGAGACCAAAGATGACTGCCTCCAAGAGCTGGAGAGGATCAACAAGGAGATTGAAACTGTAAGGCATGAGGTAGAGCAGGAGCAAAAGCGACTGTCACGCTACCAGACCGTACAGGCAGACAGCAAAAACACTGCTACTCTTTCCACGCCTGAGACTGGAGGTAAACTTAAAGGTAAAGGTACCTGTGGGCGGTCTTCATACACAACCTTTACAAAAACGTACTCCCGAGAACGGAAGTACGTAGTTGACAATTCAAAACCAAGGACTGATTTGGAGTATGACCCTCTGTCCAACTTTTCTGCTGGCATACGGTCCTACAGCTCAGCAGGTAAAGAGCAACAAGGAAAAAGTGGACAAGGTTTGAAAAGGGCAAGAAGTGCTGTTCCTTGTGACCAAAATAAACCAGTTTTATGTCAGCCAGAGCCTTCCTGCTCACCTTCTCCAGAGCCCCTTGATGACTGTAATGAAGACAGCGTCCTGATTATCGATATTCCTCCCTCGCCTGACAAAAAAAGAGTGAGAGCTCAACAATCTGGTGATTCTGTTGCTGGCAAATACCTCAAGGAAGAAGCAGACAAATTGGAGGTTAAAAAAACACATATTTTACTTCTAAACACTGAGGCGTGCAAAGTAACATCTCAACCCGCATCAAAGATAAAAGGAAATAGACTTTCTAGTAACTGCGTAGCTGAAAACACGAAAAGTCGTATTAATGTTTATGAGAACAAAGAATGTGAAAATATACCAGTTGATGGGAGTGTGGTTCAGTTAACTGGCTTTTCAGAAGACCTGCGATGTGAAACTCAGGAAATGACTCACTTTCAGGCTGCAGAAGAAGTATTTGAGAAAATTACTGGACCTGCAAGTCCTGCCAACTTATACCAGCAAGTTAACGACTGGAACAATCTGGTGTTTGAAAAGGAAGAAAACCCATTTCAGTTTGAATTTCCTCAGTGTGAGCTCCCCAATTTTGCTGATAAAATGATTCTACTGCAGTCGCATAATTTTCCACCAAATAATTCATTTTTTTATAACGCTCCAGATGCTAATTCAGGCTCTCTGTGTACGCAAGAAACCAAGCAAGCCCAGGCAGCAGCAGCAGAGCAGCCTGTTCAGAACAGGCTTAGTTATCAGCCAGGACAGATGCAGGGTCAAGCTGCTGCATCTGAAAACTACCTGGAGCCAGCAGAGCCCACTTCAGACCATGGCAACGGTCAAGCTTGGTATGAGTCATCAGCATCAAATATGATCACTGGAGCTGAATCGGCATCCCCATCCAATGAGGGGGCAATACTCATTAGTTCTGGCTCTGACGATGAACGGAACTATTCGGATATGGAGCTGTCGGACAGTGACCCAATGGAGGAATGTTACAGGATCTTCATGGAGGCCAACGAGAATAATGGAAATGAGGAGCAGCCCGATGTATCTGTATGTATGCTGTGATCACTCCAGAACCAAGAAGAAGAAATGTCTCCCACAGTATAAAACTATTTTTCCGTCACCCTGTCATTTTTAGGTTGGAGCTATGGAAGAAGAGAAGACGAAGTTAGATGTCAAACAACAAGCATTGCCAGGAAAGAAGAGGCTGGCTCATGAAGCCAAACGTATAGAGGTACTTGCGCTTGCCATGGCTGATGTTGGGGGAGGCACTCCTGAACTGGAGGGGAACACTAACAAAAGCTAAAAAGATGAACTTTAACAAAATGGTATAAGATTCAGCAAACATTTTATATTATAATATATTATTTTTGTCGTAGGCTCATTTCTATCTCAAACAAGTATTCTGGAAATTATAAACGTTTACCATATGAAAATTAAGATATCATTTATGTAAATTCCATATTACTGATCAAACAAATAAAGATATCCGCACAATATTTTTGAATGGCCATTACCCCTTTTGACATAACAAACATATATGTGTAGCATAATTTTTTGATTCACCTTTGTTCAGCAGCCAGCGAGTAAGAGCAGACCTCAACCCCAGGTGCTGGTTCCCCTGCGTGGGCCTGCGGTGTCAGGATTTGCCTCACAGCCCTCCATCACCCCTGAGATCCAGCAGGTACAGCAGAGAGCCTCCATGCTGACGGCTTCAGTTAAAGGTGTTCAGTCTCTGGTTCACTCCAACTCTCAGAGGAGGCTAGAGACCCAGGTTGCACCTTTGCATTCAATTCAAACACCTGAAAGCCTGCAGCCTGTTCCTGTGCAAAATAGTAAGTATCATCAGCTGTGGAGGACGGGTTTGATTACGTTTTTTTCTTTTTAATGTTGAAAGATTACCATTTAAATGTCAACATCAGATGGTTTCCATATAAAAAAAGTTAAATAAAATGTAGGGAAAACTATTCACTTAATTTCTAAAGTTGAAGCCTTTTAAATGTTATTACTCCTGTGCTTTTATTGTCAGTGGGCATGTTAGAATATATATGCTTTTCCAGCCACCTGTTTTTCCAGGTTTCTTCATTGTTTCTCACTGTTAGAAGTCCCATTAGTCCACTTTAAAGGATGTCTTGTTGTGCCCTTCGGCAATCGTTTTCAGACTAGAGAATTGGCGCCACCTACTGCTTATCTTAATGATGCAATTCCTAATGATCACATAATTTTAGCTGATGGAAACAAGCATTCATTCACATTTGCTTTAACTGATTTCGCCGACATTGGGTTTAGATGAGATGGAACTACATTTATCCCAGTAGGGAAATTCAGGCGTTTATATCAGCAACAGTGACTGATTTAAATGAAAGCCTTGCAATAGACATTTTACCAGTATAAAATCTTGAGAAATGCTATTTCACTACTGTATGAAGATCAAGCAGTATTTAATTTCTGGGTTTCTTTGTGCAAAATCTTGAGTAAAATAGTTATCCTGTTAAAGCAGCTTTGCCCAGTGCATAACATCTGCATGTGTTTTTGTGTCATTAAAACAGCTTACATGAACTACATATCTTTGGGAACGGCTGTGATCGGAGTGGGCAACAACTTGCACTTGATCCTCCCAGAAGGCACCTTTCCTCTGCCTGTCACTTCCAGTTCCAGCCAAGTTACTTCAGTGCTAACCCCAATCAGTCATTTGCCTACAAGCTATGGCGCTGTAAGACCAATGTACCATCTACCTGCAGTAACCCCCATGCAAAGATACCGCACAACAGCACCTGTGCTCATCCCTGCGCCGGCACGTAAACCTTCACTGACCTCTGCCTTTGCAGCAACACTTTCAAGTCCAGCCGCTTCCACTACCTCTCAAACTGCTGTCCATGCTGGCCTTAAGGTGATGTATGCAAAGCAGCATTTGTTGGGTCTGAACTGAAGAATTGAAATAAACTTGTCTTATGTCAGTTGGCCATGTTTTATCTTTTAAATATACTATAATGAATTTATCCTTTTAAGCTGGTGCCTACTAAACGTAAGATGAAGCAGCAGTGCGAGACGGTCAAAGTTCCCCATGACACCCGACAACGTTATGTCAACTTGTTCACAGAGGAGTTCCTCAAGACAACAGCCAATGTTAATGATGCCTTTGAAAAGGTGAGCTTGTGCCTCCATATGTCAAATTCACTTAAGCAGTTTACATTTAATTTCTATCCCTTTTGTGGGTTATAGGCACTTGCTGAAGAGAAGGCTGTGTATAATCGCAGTATGAACAAACTCAAATATATGAGTGTTGCTGTAAATGCACTGAAGAAGCTGAAGAACCAAGTTGCCGTTGCTGATAAAGGTGAGCATTCCTGCGAACCCATTTATAACCGTGAAACTGTCATAAAATGTCAAAGCTATATTTTAGTTATATTTAAACCCTTTTTTTTCTGGTGCAGATGAAAATGAAGTTAACAGCCAAAAATCCAAAGGCAACATTCCCCTTAATCTGAAGTTTAAAGGAAATGGTAAGAATGTTTTTTATTATTTAATTGCATTTTTCAAATATTTCGACAGCTTCTCAGAGAATTTATTTTTCATGCAGATGATACGGCATTGTATGAGAGTTTGAAGGAATATGTTTTGTCTGAGGAAACGCTGGTTGAGAGCAACTTTCCTGTCCAGCACCCAGAGAAACATGGCTGTGCTGTTCTTTTTGCTGACAACAAGAAAGGCCACGCAGACCGTAAGTGAAATCAAAGCACAACTTGAAGCTATTCTCATATTGTATCACTAGAGGGCACAAGATACCTGTGCGGTATTTGCCATGAGGGGTTATTTGCTCTGCACACTTTACTCTACTGATGTGCTTTTTCGGTTGTGTTTGTTAAAGCCCTCAAGAGGATCTGCTGCCGATGTGGTGCTACATACTCTGTGAGCCAAACGGGCAAGCACATTCGCAAGGAGGAGTGCAACTACCACTATGGGAAAGGAGTTACAAAGAAAGGTGAGTTTACTGTAGTTTAATGCCCTGAAAAACATTGTAAATGTTACTTTACAGGTTACACCAACAGATGATTGTACACACTTTGATGTCACTAGTGCCAGGTGGAGTTGAGACGCGCTACAGCTGTTGTGAGGGAGTCATGGGAGCACCTGGATGTCAGGTGTTTAAGGTAAGAAAAAGTGGATTGGGAGAGTATTCCATAACTTGATGCCCCCTAAAACATCCCATAATGAATTGGCACGTAATTGTCAGACATGTTTTTTTTTGTCTTCAACAGCTGCATGTCCATGACTTCATCAGCATGGATGGGTTTGTGTCGACCGTCCCCAGATGTCCCTCAGATACGAGCTGTCCTGGGGTCTACTCCTTGGATTGTGAAATGGTAATCGGCTTTTTTTTTTAAATCTCCATTTGATTACCAAAGACATTTGTGGACTTTTTACAATAGCAATATGACCACAGAAATTCTTACAAAAAATGTAAATGAACATGTTTCTTGTTTTGCTGTTTGAATGTATAGCTGGCGTTGAGTCAGTATTGGGGGGGAAAAAACAATGTATGTTGTGTTCATTTTTCTCCTCAGTGTTATACCATTCATGGCCTGGAGCTGTCCAGAGTGACTGTAGTCAACTGTAATCTGCAAGTTGTCTATGATGCCTTCGTCAGACCTGATTATGAAGTCATTGACTATAACACCAGGTAATGTTAAAAGATACTTGGCTTTTGTTTTCTTACCTTTTTTTTCTATAGGCTCAAACACATTCTGGTTAACCAATTTAAAATCTGTTGTAAAACTAATATGGAAACTGGCAAGAACCAATCCAACTGGTTCTTAAATAAGCAAATATATATATACATATGCAGTTAAAGCAAATGGTCTTACCATGGAGACTGGACATTATACATTTTAAAAAGATGCAAGGTCTAATCATCATTGAACGATGAGGTTCAACTACTGTTCAATGTATTGTAATTGGAAAAGAATAGTACAACTGTATTGTGTTTTATATTTAATTGGCAACCTCAAATAGAAGCCTGTGTGACACTTTACTTGTAAAGGTTTTCAGGCATCAGTGAAGAAGATCTTAAAGGGAACCACACCTCCCTCAGAGAGGTGCAGGAGACCTTATTGAGCTTCATCAGCACAGACACCATTCTTATTGGACACGGCCTGGAAACAGACCACTATGCCTTGAAGGTGACTTCTATAACTTTGTTCCAACATTATTGGTCTTCTTTGGCACGTAATCTTCCATAACATGTCGTATTTGTAATCCTGACTAACCAGTGAAGTCCATGATTTTTGAAACAAAGCTGAAACTAAGCAAAGCCAGTAATATTCATTAAGATCACATGCTATTTTCCAAGCAATTTCCCTTCAAAGAGCCCTTTTTAATGTCACTTCATAGTATCCCTTTGATTATTTCATGCTGTGATATATTCATTTCACTGCCATGCCACATTTTCAAAGCATGATGTTCAAAGGCCAATAGTGCATTTTGAATGGCAAATTAGTGTTTGGATTATTGCTAACCTGAATGTAGAGGTTTTTTTTAAAATTTTTTATAAAGAGTTACCTTTATGAGAAATATTCAAACTCTGAATATACTGTTACCTCTTAAGGGAAAGTCTCATTAATCATGTCTTACCAGCTGCACCAGACAAACCAGAGGAAGTGTGGCCAAAAGTTGGAACAGGTTTATACTGTATATTCAATAACTTATAGTTAGGATTCAACATTATATTACTCTTAGGTCAAAGGTCTGAAAGTCAGTTAATTTTTCATCAGGTATACTACTTGTTTCAACTATTATACAACTGGTTTGACTTTGAATCACCATCAGTGGAACAAAGAGTCTAGACCCAGTAATAAAAGCCTCAGATATTTTCCTTTTTGCTGTAGTTGCTCCATGGGATGGTGGTAGACACATCAGTGGTCTTCCCACATCGTCTGGGCCCCCCTCACAAGCTGACCCTCAACAAACTCACCGCTGATTACCTCAGGAGAATCATCCAAGAGAGTGGTGGGTCATCATGGATAACCACAGCCACCACACAAATCACTGTTTTGTCTACTCAATTAAAATTTGACCTCTTTTTTTAAATATGGGAAAAAAACGTAATATAAATAAAGATCGGCAAATGATGATGGGGAATAGAACATTTGACCGTAAAGAATATCAAAATGTGTAATTGCAAAAGTTTCATGTTTTTAAATGGCTAATGCGTGTGTTGGTAATATGTACGTTTATTAAAATACGTTGTGTTCATGTTTCTCCCAGTTTGTGGCCATGACACTGCAGATGATGCTGCTGCCTGCATGGAGCTTATGTTATGGAGGGTCAAAGAAGATGGAAAATTCAAAAAATGATGGAAATAAACCATGATAATTGCCACACTTTTCATACATGAATAATAAAACGCTTGCTGTCATGCAAGTATGTCACATCTATTTTGTTCTAAAAACATTGGAGGGCTGTTTCTGTTATTTGTTTACATCACTTGATTTATGTTAGTTACAGTATTTTCTGTATGTTACATTTTGCTTTGCAGCCCATGTATCCATGCCTGTATACATAATTGTGAAATCCTGTAGGATGGGGTGTCATCAATATTTTCCAAGTAAAGGCACATAATGAAATCAATTTGTGTGATATTTTTTTTTTAAAGAAGCTCTCAATCGCCAATGGGCATTCACCATTTAATATCTAATTGGCCTCAGGTGTGCTATTACAAATAAGAGCACACCTGCATGTAATTAAAGTAATTACTAGTAATTTAAATACATGGTATTTGTCTATGTGAAGGCTAAGATTGTATTGATTTGTTACAGACTATGCTGACTTGAATTCATTGAAATGTATAGATCAACACATGGCACATAGGAGTTTCATTACTATGCTTAAAACTGATTTGAATTGTTTTACTCTTTTCAATATATTGCTTTAATTTCTGATGTCTTAATTATTCTTCTTAAGCCACAAATAAATCCATTGTGGAACATAAAAAGATACTAGTGAACCCATGTTTATGCCATGACCATTTCCTTTTTTACGAGCTACATTTCAATTCAGTCGGTTACTCAGCCTTCCTCTTTGTCTTTCCCTTTCTGCCATAGCACCTCCGGAAGCAGTAACTGCAGGTGTTGATGAAGAGGAGAATGAGGAACAGAACAATGGCGAGGAGCAAGGCCAAGACATCCAGGCTGTGATACTGGTACCAGGTGAGTTCATGGGCCTGGACCCTCAGGTGCTTTGCTCCTTTGTTTCTCATGGTGAACTCGATCCAGAACACCGCCTCATCCCGAGGACTCATTGGTCTGTCGTGGAAGATACTGGACAGCCTCATGGCATTCTCCTTGTACCTGTGAGTGTGGACATAAATAGGTTAAATCGTCATTCTTAATTTCTATGGCATACATGTTTATAAGGATAAAAGGGATAATGATTTTAGTTATATGTATTTTAAGTCAGGAGTCTAATTTGCCCTCAGTCTGGCCGCTCCCTTGGTAACATTATCCCTTGAAAAACCCTAGCAGGAGCTATTGCTTACACTGCTCCCATGGTCACAGGGACACAGAAAACCGTCCACCAGGTTAAGAGGCCAATTCTTTGTGGGAACATTGTAATAGCTCTAATAACTCACTGAAATAGACCAAGTGCAGATAAGAAAAGTAACTTACGATTTATCATTGATTACAGTATTGAATGCATCTCTAAGTTCTTCAGTCTTCATGAAGTTTAAGTCCGCGATTATGGCAGCTCCTTTAGCTTTCATATGGACCATGTTGTCTGGCTGGTCAGTGAACTGAGGGAGGCCCACCATGGGAACACCCTGGTAGATGGCCTCATAAATCCCATTTGGGTGATGAAAGCTCTGGTCTTGGGGTGACCTGATAGGGTACCAACAAAATCATGAATAATTATGTACTTCTTCAGACAAGAATTGGTGTTTATGCACATCTTTTTACTCCTCTATGTTGACTAATTCACACATATGAACATTGGGCTTGTAAGTAGAAGCTGGCTCTATAAAACCCATAGATTTTTATATAACTGCAGAAAACAATACTGGAACAAAAGTGCCAAACATGTTAAACTCATGGTGGCGTTAGAGAAAAAGTCAGGGGGATAACAAAAATGATTAGAATAAGCTGCCAGATGGATTTGAAATCGAGCTTGTGATAATGTGCTATCCCTGGTCTCTAAATTGATGAGGAAAGACCTGAAACAAAGTTGTACTTAACCAGCAGGTCATTCTGAGGGATCCAGTTGTATATTCTGGTGTTGGCGCCCAGAGTTGCTGGTTTTTCTCCATTGTATCTCCACAGCACCTAAAAACCATAGTAAAACACTTAAACCCAGTGCTGATTCAATGTCCTAATATATGGCATATTAATGAATACTAAAATAATAACTTTTCATATGTGTATGTATATATATATATATTTTTTTTTTTATTCAAACCTCAGTAGTATTTTATTTGGAATATAGGTAATCCTGGGTGATTAACTTGGTTTTTAAGATACTCACTCCAATCAGATTTTGTACAATCATTTATTTTTAAAAATATATTGCCTTGGTTATTTTTATGTTGATAACCTGTATTTGTAGAGTTTTGATGCAGATTAGTACAGTGTATCTGGTCAAGAGAAATAGAGAGACACTTTAGATTAAGCAGTGCTCATTTATTGACATTAATGCCACTAATTATGTCTCGATACGTTTGGAAATTGCAGTTTAACATTTAAAATCAACACATTTCCATAAGACTAACACTGTATTTTGCATCAATTAAGTCTTGTTGCACTTAAATGTTTTCCTTGTCTTGCATAACTCCCCATACTCAGCACTTTTTAAACATTTCAACCTTTTGCAATGTATTTTTTATAGGATCATCACCTATTAATCCAGTTTCCAATAGCGACTTAACATTTTTCGTTGGAGGTTAAGATCAGTTAAAAACTATTAAATCCACCAAATAAAACCTTTAAAACTTTGTTGAGCATATTGCAAGAATAACTTTTACAATAAACATTGTTGTGACAAAAGTTCAACATTGGGCTTGCGGTCATTCTAATCAGCTCCAGTACAGTAGAGATTGTCCCCTGACCTTTTGTGGGATCTGAGCGAGTGCTGAGGCGACCATGTTTCCCCTTCTCTGTATTAATGTTCTTGATGAATGATCCCAAAGTGAAGACCACAATGCAAGCATCTCCA